GTTACGGGAAGTTGTGCTGCATCAGTCCCATGATACTTTAACAGGAGGACATCTCGGAGTTAAGAAAACATTGAGTCACCTACGACACATATTTTACTGGATAGGTATGAGACAAGATGTGGAAGAATGGTGCAGAACATGGAGTACGTGTTGTGCTAAAAGGGGTATTCTTCTTACACTGGCTCCTCATATGTCCTTGCTCTCCACAGTTCCAACATCCTTTCTGGGTAGCAGCCTTTCCTGCCATTGCATCTTCCCTGTTTTGAAGTTTCCAGCATTGAGCTTTCTTGTGCCCAGGTTTGTTACAGTGCCAGCAAAGTCCCCCAAACCTCTCTGAAAGCTGACCTTTTCTGGCCTTGAATCCTGATGACTGTACCAACCTTGGTACCTCTCTGCTGGAATTAATGTAGGATTCAAATTCAAGAGCTCTGGCCAATGCATCCTGCATAGTAAAGGGGTGTGCTTGCTTTACTTGTATCTTCAGTTCTGGACGGTCCAAGGCATCTACAAACTGATCCCTCAGCAACAACTTGAGAAGATCGGGTGGTGCAGTTGGGTAGGCCTTTTCTGCCATACTTTCCAAATCCTGCGCCAGCTCTTGCAGGCTCTCCCCTTTAGCATGGATTTTCGTCCTAAACCTAGCCCTGTAGACTTCTGACTGATTTTGGGTTCCGTACCTGAGTTCTAGAGCCGCTACCAGTGCTCTATAGTTGTGCCTGTCATCTGCTGACAACTGTCCAATTATTTCCAGTGGTTGTCCCTTCAAGCTCGTTGCCAGATATACTGCTTTCTGCTCCTCTGTCCATCCATTCATCTCTGCCAATAACTCAAATTGTGCTCCATATGCTTTCCACGGTGCTTTCCCATCGTATTCCTGTGGCTTCCTTCATACTGGATCACTCCTAGTACTGACATTCATATCTGGGATGTGACTTCTAATGGGACTGAAGATGTCTGTTAGCTGCGGAGTCTGGAAGGGGCTTGCCATTGTCTGGGGCTGATTAAGTCGATGGTTAATGTATCCTCCTTGTGTAAAAGAAATAAATCGTCCTTTAATGCATTTAATTCGCTTTGAAATTTACTAATGTTTTCCATTTGTGTTCTCTGGCTTTCTTCTTGTTTATTTTCTTTCTCCTCCATCCACTGCTGTAGTCTCTCTTGTTTATTTTACTGTTCGAGCTGCCACTGTTGCAGGTTTTCTTTCCACTGCTGTAATCTCTCTTCTTGTTTACTTTCTCGTTCTTCTTGTTTCTTTTGCTGTTCTTGTATAGCTGCCATCAAATCTGCTAAGCTGTAGTTTGATTTGCCACCTCTCGTTTCCATCTTCTTCTTCTTTTTTATTTTTATTTTCCATCCCACTCTCTGACACCAGTTTGTTAGATCTCTGTTCGTTTGTTAATTTTCCATAGAAATTCTTTCTTTTCCTTTCTAAAATAAAATTAGTTTATTCTTTCTCAATACAACTTTATAATACACTTAATTTCCACAGTCACTTTAACTTCAACACACGCTATAATTCACAACGAACGATTCGTGCACTTTATTGACTACCGCGCTTGACTCAATTGTCCGTCTCTGTCTGTCTGCAATTATCTCTGCCATTTACCGTCACTTTTCGCTGGTCTTACATATACGGAATAGAGGGCGTCTGGAGAACTCTCGAGCCTTCACGAACGTTCTAGATACTCAGTACGTGTTACCATCGTCACGTGAATTCCGCTGTCGTAACAGTATGTATTATAAAAGTTGTTAAGTTAAAGTGACGAGAAACGTACTGATTGTGGAACTTCTGTGTACTAAAAGTTTGTATCGAGGGAAAATAAACTGGTTTAATCAAGAAAGGACTCTTATTGCTGAAGATTCTCGGTAAGAATTTCTACCTGAAACAAACAAACAAGTAGATACGTAACAGTATGTTGAGAAGAAACAATAAAAAATAAAAACCATCGATCATCTACAATATGTAAGCAGTTATAAAATGTTATGTAAACATAACACTTCATGGTTTAAAAAACAACAGCATTAAAACAGGGTTCATCACTTACAACATTAATAAAACACCAATGTAAAGTATTTATTTTAAATTATAGTCACAACATACACAAAACCTACATTCAAATAAAATCATTTATAGATCGTTTGTTTGTGTGTTAAATGTCAGGTAAAGCCACTCGAAGTCTGTATGTGCTAACTATCCCTGGTTTAGAAGTAACAGACTAGATGGAAGGCAGCTAGTCAACACAACGTACAGCCTACTTTTGGGCTAATTTTTACCAACGAAAACTAATATTGACTGTTACATTATAACACCTCCACCGCCTATTTGGCTTAGGTTTAATAAATTAAGAAGAACAAATAAGGAGAGGTGTTGAGGATGAATATATGTAATAAAAATTAAGAATATGGGAGGGGAGATAAAATGTTGTCTGAAGACTTTGCACCCGAATTGAATAACCCACGTCTATTACTTCTTTGATTGTGGTGTAAAGACTTTTATATAAACCTTGATGAGGTTCTCATTCTCTTAAAATATTTTAAAATTATTTCATATTTTTCCAATGTCTTCATCTGAGGTCAAATAATTTGTTATTATTGTATTATATTAAAAGAGACTAGGAAACATAAATTTCACATAGTCAAGAAATTGCTTTTTCATTCATTAGTATTTTGATGTTTCAATATGATTTCTCCATAGAACGCTGCATTATATTATAAGATTTATTGTTAATAGACCAGGACACGATTTACCTTATATGGTGTGTCAAGGTCGTTGCGAGAAGGAGGCTGAATATTTTGACGAGTAAACAAAGCAGATTTTATTCATTCATTCTATCGCTAACTACAGTCATTACATAACTCATCAGGCAGTTTAATATAGAAATCCACACGTGCACATATTACCTGTCAAATCTCACTCCTTTCAAAGGTAAGGTTTGATAGTGCATTTGTGTCTCTAAGCGGGATAAGTACAACCTTATGGGCGATAATTAATAGAAGCTTTTTACTTTAGGGCCTGTATAATACTAATAGTATATTATACTTTATTATATACATACTATTATAGTTAACAATAACAACCAGCTCAATACTTTAGACTTTAGTTAATAATAATAGTAATACTAATAATGCTTTACATCTGGTACTGTATATGAACAAACCTATTCCGTATAGTTTCGAGTTTGAACAGCCCCTTCTCATTGTATTCTGATGTTTATGTTTAAGAATATATTTACAATACCTAGGACTTAAAACACTCAAATAGGATAAAATACAAACATATGAAAAAGTTTCTGCTTATATAGTGGAGGGTAAGGATGTAGATTTGGTGCATCTAGATTTTCAGAAAACATTTGACAAGGTGCCACATAAAAGGCTTGTAAAAAAATTATCTCTATAGCGTAGTAATAGTATAGCCTATTGGTGTAAGAGATAAGTTATCTAATTGAACAGAAGATTGGCTGGATGGAAAAAATCGGAGGATTTGTTGTACCTCAAGACTTAGTCATGGGACCTCATCTCTTTTTGATTTTATTTAATGACATAGGAAGGGTCAGTAAATTACATAAATTTGCTGATTGTATATAGGTGTTTGGTGTTGCTAGCTGTGAGGGGGATGATGCTGCTGCTTTACAAAAGGATTTAGTAAGTTGGGTGAATAAATGGCAGATAATGCATGTGGGTTATCATAGTTTGAATTATAAGTAAAATTTGAATGGGAATAACCTTAACAGTGTATTAATCTTAATACTGTCAAATGCTTTCTGAAAATCCAGATATACCAAATCTACATCTTTACCCCCATCTACATAGGCATTAACCTTTTCAAAAATGTCGAAAGGTTTGTAAGGCAAGATTTTTCCTTAGTGAAACCATGTTGGCTATCCAATAAAAATTCTAACCTTTGTTAATGACTTTGCAAAGCATCTTTTATCAGAGTTTCCAAAACTTTCTCCATAACTGATGTAAGACTAATATTAATAAGCCTATAAGTATAATTACTAGGTAATAATATAGTGTAACTAGTAATTTTTGGCTTCAAAATTCAATTCTCTGTTACCATATTGATTCCATAAAGTTAACTTAAAGTTACAAAATTTTTTAGAATAATTTAACATAACAAAGTGATTTGGAGGCACACAGATGGGTATTTAAGCACATTCACCATACCTTGTCAAAAGTTTATGGTTGGTTTGTTAACTCGTCAAAATAAACATGGTCAATATGGCTGCTGAACCATGACCTGGTCTGTTAAACTCGTTTTTTTTTTGTGATATAATTTACAATGGCAAGGTATATGGAATGTTTCTTTATACAAATGTTCTTATGATAAACATGCATAGCATCTGATGCAAGGTACATATTGAATTTATTAAGTTATGTACAACTTACATCAGTACTTGCTATCACAATATGCATTATTAATCTTACTATAATGGACGTAGCATGTATGTCAGTATCTATGTATGTTACCAAAACTCCTGTGCCATCTACTGGATGGCACCACAAACAAAGATCCACAAAAAAATTCACACTTTGAGTATTCAAGATTCAGACAATTAGAAAAATAACTGTGGTATGTGTAACAACTATTTCTTTATAATAGAACACAATTTTAAATAAAAATACTCTTCTCACAACAAGAACGCGACTTTCACTAGGACTGTACGTGAGGGTTTGATTATATCTTTATTGATGTAACTTTAAAATGTAATACTGAGAAGCTGGAGTTCTTAAAAACTTATTTTTTCAATAAAGAGTACTACTTTTAATATATATATATATAAAACATTATAGTTTATATTGGTAAAATTTATGAAAATTTTGAACTTTGTACCTTGAATCATTTTGATGCAATGAGTTGTGTATGACTAAAGAGCACAATCCAAACACTTTTCCAGTGCAGTACTTCCCAGAAAAAAAATCTTTCTTTTCAAGAAAATTTTTACTTTTTCAAAATTTTTTCATTGAGGTATGAATACTACAATTAGTAATTACTAGTACAAACAGCTGCCCATGGGGTTGCATTTCTGCTAGCATTAGTAATTTGTAGTTTGCAATAATGCCATTATCAATAAGCAATAGTAGTTTAGTACTTAATTTATACATTAAGATTTATAGTATTGGTAATAATAGGTCACTAGGATTAAATGCTAGACTTAAATTTAATTAGATTAATGTTACTTAATATGCAAAGACGAGCAGATTCACTGTTTGGATATGTGGAATCAGTTCAATGGTAAAAGCAAAATATTTGAAATGAATAGTTTACATTTAAAAATGTAGGTTTGCAAGGTGTGGTAACTTATCTGAAAGTATAGCAGTAAACTAAGACTAGACAGTGGTGAGAGCCAGGATAAACTAAATCATGTAAATACAGAACAAATATGATGTAGAGAAGAATGTAGTGTAGGAAAGTACAAAAGTATTTTAAGGAAGGTTAAATTATTACTTTTGTAATATTAGATGTATACAAAAAATATATTACATGCCTTTAGAGCACTAGTTGGAACAGAGGAGTTTGATATAATGGGAATAACTAACTTGGTTAAATATAGAGAATTTTGATGATAGAAGTTTCTTTGAAATATGAGGTTACACGTTATTTAATAGGGATAAGAGTACTAACTATATGAGGGGGATGAGCAGTTGCATATGAAAAAATACAAGTTATGTCTAGATGAAGTTGATGTCAAAGATAATAAGTAGGAGATTGAATGTACGTGAGTTTCTATTCATGGAAATTGTGGGAAAAAGCATTTAGTTGGAATTTTATACACTAACATTACAGACCATTTGATGCAATTAATTAAAAAAACGCTCTACAGTGAAATTAATATTTTATCTGTTAATGAGCCAATATTTATGGAGGTTTTTTATTTCGGACATATAGATTTGGAAATGTTAGAGTCAAACCATGAGGATAATAGGTTTTTAAAAACTGTTCAGAATGGTTTACTTCTCTGATTTGTCATTTAAGCTTATAGGACAATGCTATTTTAGATTCATTGTTAACTTCCAATATAGAAATTGTTGGCAGGATGGTGAATAGGGAACATCTGAGTGCAGGTGATCATTGCTCAATTAGGTTTGATGTTTTACAACATATGAAGATCAAGAAGAATGAGATTATTTGGTAACAAATTTCAAGAAAGGAATGTTTTGAAGGGATGCAAAAAGAATCATCTGTTGTGAATTGGGCAACTGAATTAATTGGAGGTACTGATCAAATGTAGAAACATTAAAAATGATATTTTATATATTCAAGATAGACATGTCCCTTATAGAAAAAAAAAGGGTGGCTGCAAGTAAAAATGAGGTTGGGTCAGAATGGGTATAACTATAAGGGATAAAATTAAAGAAAAACTATAAATTTAAAAAGTTAAAATTGTCTGCTATCAGAGAAAGATTAAAGGATTATGGAAGATCAAGAGAATTGGTCAAATAGGACATTAGGAAATTCAAAAGGGTATGTGAAAAAACTTGACTGAAAATGTAAAAATCAACAAAGGATTTCATTAAGTACATAAAGATTAAGCATAATGTCAGGATGGGAGTAGGGCCTGTGAGGGATTACAAAAGGCTCATTCTAATGATTATGAGATGGCTGTGTTGTTAAGTTGTTTGTTTTCAATTTCTACTGATGGAGATTTAAGCGGTATTGCTTATTTTGAACAGTTGCTAGATGAAGTAAAATATTAAATAAGATGATCACATGAATTCTGAGTTTGTAAAGAAAAATTGTGAGTTTAAAGAATAATAAAGCTCATTGAATAGTGGGTGGGTGTCAGAAGATTTGAAGATTGGTAATGCTACTTCTCTTTTCAACAGAAGTGATAAAAATTATTTTGGTTATTATAAACTTATTAATATTATGTTAGTGGTGGGAGAAGCTTTTTGAAAGTCTGTTCAAAGATGCTATATTGAATTCAAGTCTAAAGAAATTATAATTTCTTTGTATAGGTTGTTGGTTAGACCACATTTCCAGTATTGTGTTTAGTCTTGGACTCCTTATTTTAAGAAGCACATTGAATTATTGGAAAGGGTTCAGAGGAGGGCTACCAAAATGATACTTCAGAATGATACTTCAGTTGGAATAGCAGTCTTACAAAGACAGATTAAGATATCTGAAATTTTTTCCTTTTGAAAAAGAAGAGCTAGAGGGGATCTGATGGATATGTTTAAGATTGTTAATGGAATTGATAGTTTTTATTCATCATCATCATCTTTTTGTACTTATTGGTGAGAATGGTAGGGCTAGAGAATACAAATATGATTTATATATTTTGGAAGTGTGGGAGTCATTTTCAGCAAAGACAGTTTTATTTTTCTAACATGGTGGTTGGTCTTTGGAATGAGTCGCTTTCATATGTGGTGGATACAGCAAGTATAAGGATGTTTAAGGGAAATTTTGATAAATATTTGAGTGATATGAGTTGGCCTAGATGGACCAGTAGATTTCTTGTTCTTAAATTTTATGCTGTGTTGTAGTTTTATATTTTGACAGTAAGTTGAGTAATGCTAATAGTTATTGAGATCCATTACTTGTGTATCCCAGACATGGTCTAACCAGTAGTTTTACATTTATTAACATTTGTGGAAAATGCAAGATTCATCCTGATGTGAGAATGATACCCAATGTATTTGTATTATCACTAGTGTTGGTAAACTACATTGACCTTATGGCAAAATTTTGAGGCCATGAGACAGAATTTATCATAAGTGAATTGGTATAATGAGTTAAAAGGTAATGGTGGACACACTTGGGATACATTTAAAATGAAATTACTTGGAATTCAAGATAGGCATTTGGCCCAAAAGATAAAGTACAACAGGGGAGATCAAACCTAAGTGACTTACTAAAAATGTAAGAAAGAAAAAAAAAAGATAAATTTCTAAATTCAGAAATGTTTACTCTCTTCTGTGCACAATAGTGTTATTACCTCTTACCACTAGTGTAAAGAGTTTTGCACATGCCACAGACCTTGAAAATAATACATATAGGAGTGAAAGGTATTGTACTGTGCCATCCTATGATGTAATCATCATTATACTTTATCCCTCCACCAATAGGAGGGTGACATCCTCCATGTGCAGTAATACCCAGCATTATTTTGTTCAGATTTATTCTTTCTTAGGAATTAATGGCATTTTTGTGGTTATTATATTCAATTTCCATTACTGTTTGTAGTATCGTGTTTCTTTTCTTAAGTTTCTTGATTAGGAAAAAAGAAATACCAGATTTTAAACATTTCAGATGGAACTTTGATTCAAACTTTCTACAATTAGACTTTTTTTTAAATCAAGTATGAGATTGTTTGAAAACTGTTGTACTGTTTGCGATAATGTTTCTTTGACAGTACCATTTCCTGTTGCTTTAACCCAGCATATTGGTTTTGTTAGGCACTCTTCAATGATAGGTACTCTAGGTCACCTGTGCACCCTTGACATGTCAGACCAATTTTTATTTCTAAAAAGAAAAAAGTTGATTTAGTTTATTATCTGGATTTCAAATACATGTTGCCCCATTTCTGACATTCCTTGAAGCTTTGACACTCCTCAACAGGTGTAATCCAATAATGTAATGGTGACTGGAAGCATTCTGACTGTTACTAATGTTACTGCCATTGTGCACCAGGTAGTTGGTTCCATTCTGATCTTGGAACTGGCTTTCCCAGCCTCCTGTTTCTGTTATTTCAACTGAGCATACCCTGTCTTTCAGTGGATATCATCAGTGTTGTTTTGTATGAAACTCCATCACTTGAGTCTCTTCTTTCAGCTTGGGAATCTTCTCCTCTTTTTCATTCTTTTTCTCTCTCACTAGCCATCTTCTTATCTTTGTCTCTTACTTACTTGACTCCTTCGCTATCTTTTCATGCTTCACCTTCTTTTAGAAGCTTTACATCATAACTCTGTCAGCTTTTCTGGGGAAACTTTCATTTAGTTTTATCTTCTATTATATGCCAGTTGACTTTGTTTCTGAGATGTACTTCATCAGTTGCCTGTCTGATGATACCTTCCTAAAGATTTTCTCAAGGACTTCTGTGTTGTACACTTTCTTTGTGATGAGGTTTTTCTCATAATTTGAAACCTTGAGGTGATACAGCTCATCAACCATCATCCCTCCTCACTTTTTTTTCATGCCTTTTAGGATCAGGGGGCCCACCAGGTTTCTCATCCTCTACAGCCTTATGGGATTTCCCCCTCTCTTGTTCCTATTCCTCTTATTACTATCCAACATCCCCCCCCTACCCTGAAGGCTTATGATCAATGGACTTGGAGATGATTTGTTTCTGGATCCATCCTCAGCTCTCCCACTTTGTACACCTGTGAACTCCTTTTGCCATAGCCTACTTTCTCATGGGTTTTCCTAATTTTTTATTCCACCTTTCATGATTAGAATGCCATGGAACAATTCCTTGACCTTACTGTGGGGTTTTACTCCCATCTCTTTGTCATTCCCATGAAGACGGGAAGTTGTTGTAGACTTGTCCTACTTGAAACAACTTTGGTTTTTCTGGGTTAAATATTTATAGTTTTCTCACTTTGTGGTGAGTATTCTTCAAGGATGTGGATGACCTGAATCAAGGTATTGGACACTTTCTCTATAACCCAATTTGTGTGGCTGCATTTTGCTTCCTTGAGTTCATTGACAATAGTCAAGCATTTGAATCACAGCCCTTTCCTTTAAGTTGTAACAGCCTTTTGTCGCATAGTTAGAAAGCCAGGAAAATTTTGAGAGGTAAGTGAACTTGTCTACTTTTTGCACCTTATTAGTCTGTATTCTTTGGTGCATTATTTAATTAAATAAAAATTATTAAGTACATTGCTATCTATAGTATACAAAAATTAGTGTTAACTCTCTTTGAAAACCAACAGCAAGGAAAAAGAAGATTGGTTAAGTATTTTATTTCTTGTTTTTTATGTTTATTCTTCATGTTTAATTATAAAAATAACTAAAATGTAAAAATACGGATCTTTTTTAAGTTATTTAAGACCAGATTAGATAAAATAAATAATGATAATAATATACTTAAAATGGTTCACAAGTCACGTAGCAGCTCATGGGTAATGTAATTCAAGAGCGTAACTTGAGCTGCACGTTCCTCAAGAGATGTAAAACTTATAATGGTGTGGATAGTAGACAAAGGTTCAAAAGGCAATAAAATTCAATTATACATATATGTATACTGTTATGAACTTAGAGCTACTTAGGATAAACGAATATAGCTACATGTCAGAATTTGAAGTCATTCTAGAAAGAAAAAAGGGTAATTTAGGTTTATTTCGATAACAGATAAACTATAAAGTTTTACTGAAAAAACATTTGAAATGCATTTAGGAGGTTTTAGGGAACACACAAAGGAAATTTGATATTTTTGAGATGAGGGGAAGTATTTTTAATTTTAACATGAAAATTACTTTGCACACAGACTATTCAAAACAAATAATATATTCATGGACAAATCTTTATTTTATTTTATTAAAAATACTTCACTAAAAAATATGATTTTTTGTAGGTGAAACACTGTATTGAAAGTTAGAAGTATTGAATCTGTAAAGACTAATTGAGTACAAAGAGGTCACGTGGTCAGTCAAATTGACTGAGCCCGTGTTGAGAGAGTTAACTTAGCAGCTGTTCTCAGTTTATGTGCATGATGGGTTCAGCCTGCTTTTATGTCTTTGAGACATGAAGCTTCTGACACTGAAGCTCTCATATCGCCTTAATTTCTTGCACAAGAGAATTTGTTGATTTGGGGACAGCTTCTTTGTCATGCTGATATGTGTCCTCATCAGTGGATTATGGCCAATGATCTGCTGCCTTCTTTTCACCTCTTGCTTTTGTGATGGCCCACTTGATCCCACATGACATTGGACATCTCACATTTACCTAGACTTGCATTTGTTTGGAACTTTCCAGGGCTCAGCAGTAAGTCTGGGGGCTTATAACACTCACATATTTGGCTTTTCATACCAGTGGTGATTGTAGCATGTGTGCACATTGTGTAACTTTGTGCTTCATTAATGAACCTACCAAAAAAACCTAATAATCAATACCTTTGTTTTAGTGGGATGCTCTTTATTGTTATTTAAAATATTTAATTTGTGTGGTACAATACAATAATCTTCAATTGCAAGTATTTTTTGCAAAATTTTTCAACTATTTTTAATGAAAAGTTTTACTAACTAAATGATAAATACACTTGTGCAAAATAATTTAGAGCTTTTGTATTAACACTTTTTATAGTTTACGAAAAAAGTATTTTGAATTGATAAAATTGTAAAATTGCACGCCCTAAATAAATACAATTCAATTATGGCAAAAGTAAAAAATAAAACATTTGTTCATATTATTGACAAAGAATGCTCAAATATGTTTATTTAATCCTTTGTGAAAATATGCATAAAAATAATTAGAAAAACTTCAAAAAATTGCTATATGTTAAGATAATCTTAATAAATGGTAATTTTCCCCACATTTGGGTAGTTGTATCAGTGTGGTGTATGAATATACCTGTATTTATATCTTTTTGTATGTTTTATTATTCAGGCAGAATTTATCATTCTGTATATGTAAAACTTTCACATAATGTGGTTGAGAAAGCCATTGATTTCACTTTATCATCCTTTGATCCTTTATTCTCTAGGATATAATACTTGTTCTGTCCATGGAAAGCTGTTGCTATAATACTGCACATTGTGCAAGGATGTCAACAGCAAAGCCCATCAGCAGTAGTTCGTGTGAGTAGCATTAGTCAATGTGGGTAAATACAATGTTTCTTGAGAATTAATGAATGTTTAATTTAGTCATGAAATCTGGTACATGAATTTGGGTAGATTAGTTTAAAATAGAACATCCGGTAATAGCAGTTGTCTCATGATAGTAAACCAAGAATCCATGCTGTATTTGTATCAAGTGTGATATTAATAGAGATTGTTCATTTTGTTTCACTTTGTGTCCAGTCTCTTTATTTCATTCATTTTCATGACTCAGTTACTCAGATATTTAGTATTTCTTTGTAATAACCATTCTGACCAAATCATTTGGTATTCTGTGGAATTATCTCATTGACCTTAAGTAAAGCCAGTTTTATCTGGATATACCACTGAGTGGATAGGAAAGATGAAAGTTTAATGCCATGACCAGGATATTGTATTGTGGGTTTTGCTGTAGCTACTGAAGTGTGAATTGTCCCTTACTTGAAATCTTGTGCCTTAAGGTTAAAAAGACTTTTTAGTAACAAAAATGTAATTTTACACAATATAGTTATAAGCATAACCAAAAGGGAGAGTCAGTCACTAAAGAGAGATGATTTTCTGAGAGAGTTGTCAAGTATAGAAGTTTTGTCCTAATATCAGACCTTTGCTAGTGCTGTGAAAGCCCATGAGTTCTGTCTTGCTACATTCAATGACCCAGGAAGAAGAGCCACCAATGTCTGGTGCACCCAGAATGTGTGTTCGTCCTCAGTGTAAATAAAATAATCAATTCAGAATCTTTCACATAATGTGGTTAAGAAAACCATTGATTTCATTTTATCATCCTTTGGTCCTTTATTCTCTAGGACTGGTGAGTCTGAGAAATAGTAGGGTAGTCTGTAAAGAACTCACAGGTTTGACAACAGAGAAGCCCAATCCCAGCTCTGGTTGAAGTTGTCCAAGAACATCAGAGAGAAACTGGAGGTGCTGTTGATGAATGACACCTGCTAACAGGATTCATTATAGGACACCAAGTGACTAAGCAATTTGACCATGGAGAAGTAGTGACCTCTCCAATCAGGGGAGAGGGTATACTGCTGAAAACGCCATGGACCATGGATGGAGACCCTTGGGATAAGCTATAAACTATACTTCATTTTTCTGCCACCTTAGAGCAGGTGCCTACCATTCATCAGAGTTTGGTTCCTTAGAGCACCTACAATTCTGTGCTTATGATGTTGAGTACATCATGTTGAGTCAGGTGGTGGTCAGGAAGTTGTGAAGGAAAGGGTATGGTCACAATCATGGTTTCCCATGAACAAGGTGAAGCAAATGACTATGCTTACAATGAAAGAGTATTTGGACAATTTTCTGAAGTGTTTCAAGCAACTAACTGCTTATAATGGCTAGCTTCCAGTACATGCTATACAATGCCTGGTTCTGAATTTATATGGTTCAGCCCTAGACTTCATTGAGCACTTGATTGAGGAGCAGTTGTGAGACTGTGAAATTGTCATTATGTAGTTGTGCTTGAAGTATGATCCAGTGAAAAAAAAACATCCATCAGGTTGAGTACAAGGCTCAGAAGAGAGGTACCATGGTGAGCTTGACTGCTTACATAGATTATCTGTGCCATTTACTTGGTAGGGCAAACACTGCAAAGGCTCAACAGATTACTAGGATATCCTTTTTGACAAATTTGTGGAAGGGCTACCCAGTAAATGATGCAACAGCATCTGGGTGTGAGAGATCTACTCACTCTTACTGAGATAGTTTCTGTTGCAATGCAGTATGTAATGATAACTCTGAACCTGTTGCAAGAGAAGAGAAAGCCTGTATTGGTAGCAGCAGTGAATTGACCTTGGACACACCATCCTACCCAGGCACACAGGTCACAACAAGCTCAATCCCTGTCAAAAGTCAACCACTAACCTACCCACAAATCCTGGCATTTTGATGCAACCATACTGGATCCAGTGAATAGGAAGGACTGTCCCAAGGTTTATATGATGCAAGCTATGTTGCCAATGCCTCTGCCAGGACATTATCCTGATTGGGAGGAGCAAAGTATCTGCTTTGCATGTGGAACATTGGGTCACTTTTGAGTGAACTGCCTGTATCTTGCAGAGAAGTAAGATAGATAAGTGTATTGGTTTCAACAAAATTGTAACAGATGCCGGAAAGCCAAAAGCAGGCAGTGAATACTGCTGCTACAGCTCTGGGAAACTAGAGGAGCCCAAGTTGGGCCTAATCAGAAAGATGGGGAATTATAATGAAGAACCTGTATCAGAATGTATGGTATTGAGCCCAGCTGTGTTGGGACTGGGTATGTTTTGGTACTGGTTGATACAGGAATGGTCATAATAGTGATAGACATCATACTATATCAGGTGCGTCAAGTGAATTATCCAATGAGGCAGTCAGCATGAACTTCATATTGGAAAATGGAGATAAACTTGACATGAATGGAGAGGCAATGCTCCAATTCTGTCTAGGATGTTTCATTTACAGAATGAAGGTATTCGTTGCTACCCTCAGTTCTGGCATTGGCTTCCATGAGATGAACTACTGTAGAGCTTATTTGTCAGTTTGCCTGTGAAACTAATAAACAGATGTTCTATGGTAGTGTTATCCAGTATTGGCCCCAGGAACAGTAGACTGCAGAGGTGTATGCTGGAAAGGAAGTCACAGTACCCCATGTAAACCATGGTTTGCTCTAGTCAAAGTCTAGTCTGTTGATGCCATGTTTTGCAGCTATAGAGCCACTACATGAAATAGACCATTTCCTATCCAAAAAGCAAACAGCATTAGCTTGGGGAGTTATCTGTCACACAGAAAATGAACTCCTGGCACTGTTTTGCAATTATGAATGATCTGTTATCCAGCTGCAAGATGGGATGGTCATGTGTGCATGGTAAGCAAAGTGGAAGTAACCATTGTTGGCATTAAGGGTGTCAGGTTTTTACGTATATATATATATATATATATGGGTGTATGTGTAGGCAGGATTCTTTACAGTATGTCTCTCTGACTTGTTGGTAATAAATTTCAACAATAATGAAACAGCATACAGTTCACTTATTTTAAAATAATATATTAAAATTAAAATGTATATACAAATGTCTGTTACACAATTAATTACCACAGTTGAATTCAGAACTATAAATAATTCTCTTCATTAAAAGTCCACACAGGATGGTTGTGTTACTTTAGAACTCAATTGACAAGATGAATTATTCTACTGTACTCTGTTATCACAAATCAATCTGTGATAAATTCAGTTATGTTACCCTTTTGACTACCACATTTGTATCCAGAGCTTTAACTAATTCTTTTCCATGTCAAAAGTCCACCCAGGCTGGTTCAGTGACTTTAGAACCCAATTGACAAGACAAATTATTATTCTCTATTCTGATATCAAAGTACAATCTGTGATTATTGCACTTTAAAAGTTGCCACTGTAGACACTTTATAGCTAAACTCGCGATCACCCAGTCTATATCTATCTCTATATCTTTTTCCTTTTACTTCGCTTCTTACTTGCACTAACTTGGTCACCTGTATATATTGCCCAACTGAGGCCTATAACTTTCTACAAACTATGAGATGTTATGGTGTAACAATACTCAAAGCAACAAGAAAAATTCAGAAAGTACGAGTAACATGACGTCAATTCACAACAATTTAACTACACAACAAGTGGTTCATAAACAGTTACATAAGCAAACTTACCTTAACTATCCTTTTTAAAAATACTAAATTTAACACTTGCACTTTATAACTATGTAAATCATAAGTCTTGTATTAAGTTTAAATGAAACAGACTTTTATTTTTAACAAAAAGTTAGGTTGCACCCATTGTACCATGTCTTAAAGCAAATGTACAGTTATCAAAACATTTGTGGTCACTACTTGAGGATTGTGCACGTAATTTACACTCAATCAATGGCAGCAAATCAGTGACTTGTTGGCAGAATATATCATTGTATTTGTGAAACCAAAGGGTTAATTGGGTCAAAATAGTCACCCATCATCACCTACAGTTGACACGCATTCAGTTAAACAACAGCTGCATGTACAGGCTTCCTTGGGGTACTAAGGATGTAGACATTGCTAAGATACAGCATATGTTGAAGGACAGAATTATACAGTATATAGTCAACTTTTTTTCTCTTTGCTTTGACACAAACTTTCAGTAACAATTGCTGAGTGTAATTGGTATTGACGTATCTCAGTGGGGAGTACATTCATTGTCTTATGCCTACATTATACCTGCTGGTTTGGAAGGTTATGGATCAGCATTTAGTATCTCGGTAATTTGATTGAGGGTATCGAGGGTTTGGAAACCAAGTGTGCGATGACACTGTTTGTTGCCTTCAGTATGGCGGGTGACCAACTGAGCTCAAAAGTGAAGGTGACTTGCATTTTGCCACAAGGAAAAAAAAAAAAAATAGAAGTAAGAACTTTAAAGGTGGAGCTTAAGGGAATTTTGCCCAGTCATATGATTCCTGTATTAGTGGATCAGTACTCTATTCTCTGTTTTTTATCATTATGATGAAAAAAATTTACCCTTTATTTTTAGTGGTTAAATGGTGTTTGTTTTAATAATCACTGCTCAAGTGTTTACTTTATGTTTTGTAGACTATTGTACACCTTTGCGATGTGTGGGGGCTCAGCTCGAAGAATTTCTGAACATATGGAACACCTTTACCACAGATCCAGGGGTACTACAGATCCTTGAGTCGGTAGTAAATTTTCACTGTTGACTCCCTCAATGCAGGCTTGGTCAATTTGACTGACCACGTGACCTCCTTGTACTTGTTTAAAGTCTTTATAGTTTTGATAATACTAACTTTTAATGTAATATGTATATCTTCACAAAATTTTGCAGACTTTCAGTAAACATTACAAGTCTTTCACATATAAAAAATCATATTTTTAGTGAAGTATTTTTAATAAACTAAAAAAAGATTTGTCTGTGAATATATCTAGTATCATGCTGGTTGTCACTGGCTTCTTGACTTTCCTTGTCTCCTATAGGGGGT